TCCTTAAACCATGACACCCTAAATGCATTATTTCTTCCCTAGTATCTCTGCATTCATCTCTGGGGTCCCTTTTCTCCAATCTCACTCTTAGAACAAAAGGTAAGATCCTAGGAAATTACGAAGCAAGCAGTGATACTGTTATAGTACTTCAAATTCTTCAACTTCCTAGTTATGTCCCTTTCCCACTCACTTGTACTCATGGTATTCTCATTGTATGTTCACTTTTCTATCATCTCTAAATGTTGAAGGGATTTACAGAATAAACTCATTCTGAAATATAAGACTGAAATCAGCTGAATAGTCTCTACAATTCCTTTTAACATAAATCAAAGCCTTGCTAGCTAACATAAAATAATAAATATTGAATATCTGCAAGTATCAACCAGTGGATAAACAAATTAAGCCTTTCTACAGCACTTTATATAGAATTTTATTGCTACATCCTTTTGAATTGTGCATTAAACAAGTTTTAGATTATAACACACCCAAAACATAAAACTTCACAAAAGGCTATAGAGGAGGGAAAAAATTCTCATCTCTCTATCCATCTAGGTTGTCCAGCTGGAGAACTAACAAAAGACAGATTAATAAAAGATAATGATTCACATGTGTACCATGCATAAACACTAGAATACGCAGATATGACTAGCTCTAAGATGTGGTTAGAACTTGGGCTTATATAGCTTTAACAACAGAATATATCTTTAGAGAAATTAGAAGATAAAGGAAAGGACTTCGAGTTTCTTGAGTGGCAAGCCAAGGGAAGGCAAATATATGGAGATGTAGATGAGAGCTAGTTTTAGTCAGGTTTGTTTTGTGGATTGCTCTGGTGCAGTCTCCAGGTTGATAAGAGTTTAAGATTATATTTTCATAGTTAACTTGTCTCTTCTGCTAGAGAGAGGAGGTGGAATACCTTTGCAAATTTATGCAACACGTTTCAACATATTGGGGAAGTATAGTGAGCTTTTCTTGTATTTTCTTCTTTTCAGTTGTTTTTGGTTCAAAATAATTCTTATGATGCCTAAGTGGCATTTTTGGGGTGGTATATCCTACTACCCTACAGGACCAAGGATTTATTAACAAAAATAATGTATCTAGATGTGGACATTAAGAGGACTACTTCTAAGAAAGTTAAAATTTTGAAGTCTTAATTAAATCCAGAATAATCAATGTGTACCAGTACTACAAAAGACTTCAGAAGTCTCTTCATCTGCCAAATGTTTCCCACTTTGAGCATGCATTTTATTTCTCTCATGAATTTTGAGTTGTAATCTCTGAAATAGGCATGACTGGCATTGAAAACTAGAAGGAATATAGTGCTGTGTATTATATGCAAATTTCATGAACAACACAACAAATAGACTTTACTGAACAGAATGGACATTTTCCAGTGACTGCAGTTAGAATGATTGAAATTATAACTTAGGAAGTTGGGTTTTTTTTTATTTGGTGAGTTTGGGGAAGGAAATTTAGGAGGAGGTAACACCTAACATTTTCTAAGCACTTAACATGTTTCAGAAAGATTCTAGGCTGTTGATAAGGGTTATTTCATTTACACCTCTTTTTGCATAATTTTTATGAGGAAACTAAGATATACAAAGATGATGTTTTCCCATGTTCAAAGAGCTAGTACATGAAGAGAAACAGGAATGCACAGTGGGGAGAAAAGACTTGCCACATCACATGCTTCACATACTGCTCTATTATTTTTTAGTTGTCATCACCATTGCATGGTTTACAATTAGTATCTATTTCTCTCCTTTAATTACTCATCAACTTTCCATGACTTGAAAGTAGGACTTTTATATCACATAATAGCAAGTTATCTGCAGTCCTTTGAAAAAGTATTCAATATGTTTATGTGTTACAGAAACATTAACAAAATACATACCTTAAAGTATTACAGAGATCTCTGTCTGATCAGTTCAAAGGAGTCTATATTCTCTCCTATTCCAACTTGGAATCTTTCTCAGACTACTTACATATGAAGAAGAAAACAAAACACCTGCTCTTCTTTTCCATAAAGCAAAACAATAGGTGAAATAAAATAAAACAGCTTTTAAAAAAAGTAACAGCTGAACAACAAATATTACATAATTTTTAAAAGAAATTTTTGAATATTTTTCTTTCTACTTTTGTGAAAATTTTCACAAAAACATCATGTTACTCACACAGACAAATTGTGCAAAATGCAATACATTAAATGATATGCCCATTACAATGAAATTAAACAAGCATCAAAGGTAGAATATTCACAAAACACTTGGAATCTATAACCCACTAAAATTCAGGCTACCAGCCAAATACTGTAACTTCAAACATCAGACAACTTAAGGTGTATGATTTGAAAATGAAAATGCATAATTTACAAAGAGCTCTAGGTAGACAAACAGTGGTGATGTGGATGCGTTATTTGTGCCAAATATTTATTTCTTTGCTGTCTGATTATTCCAGCTCCCCAGAGGTTAGGAGTCTATCACCTGCTGTTCCTCAGTTCCTAAAATCAGAGACTATAACACAGATGGAGCACCTAAGTTCTCAGGGCTCTGCTTCACAGAGATAAGACTGCCTTGGAGAAGTGCTCAGCTTTGCCTCCCTCTGAAAGAGCCTGAACACCATCAATAATAAACAGTTACTTCTCTACTGTTATGTTAAACCACACTCTTTCATACGCAGAGGAAGTTTGATGAAAGGGAGTTATTTAAATCACTTGAAACGCCTGTAGTTTCATAGTTTTCGTTATTTCTGGTGGTTGTGTTCTCTCTCTCCTTGTTTTTCTTCCTTTTCTCTAGCCTCAGCTCCCTTACCCTCACCCCCATCTGCTGCCAAAAATGCAATGATTTAAGAACCCAGTGGAAATATAGAGTCACATTTCTCCTTCAGTCAGTTGCCTTGAACATTTTTGGTGAGCTATTCTTTAGTCACTCCTGTCATCCTGCTGTCATTCATAGCATTATATCTCAAAGTATGAGAACATTGCAAAAATCTACTAAACCCATTCTGAAACATGTATTATGTCCAGTTATAACCTTGTGATTAAAATAAGTCAACTTCCAGGTGCCAAAAAAAAGATACCTGAGATCCCTAATGTCATAGGAATATATACATTTATTAATTTTATCAAAAGATAGAGTCATTTACCTTGAAAGCTCCTAAAAACAGAAATACAAACTCTTCATGTTGCTTCTAGCCTCTAGAGAGTGGTGAAAGAATCAGATTGTGCCACTAAACAGTATTTCATATAATTTACCACTTTGATCAAATATCAGAATTGACAGCGGCTTGTGTGTATGTGTGTGTGTGTGTGTGTGTGTGTGTGTGTGTGTGTGTGTGTGAGATGGGAAACCGTGCCTGACAACCAGACATCAATTATTGCGGGAATTTTACCAAAGTATTTTCAGTTTATTCCTCCAAATAGGACCTTTAGTACAATGTTCACTGGCTAATTATTTTTCTGCCCTCAGTGTAGTTATCCTGGGTACTAAGCTGAGGTGACATACATCTGTGTCTCCACATTTTTCCCATTTATTGGGAATACTGAGCACAAATGAATCTTTTGTATAGAAACTATGATCAGGATTTTTAAATAGTGAATGAGGTTAAATATTCATTGCCTGAGTTAATAGTACCCATTTAGAATTCACCTCTTTTAATAAAAGCTTCCCCTATTATTTCCTTAACTTCTCTTATAGTGGTAGAACCTTACCTTTGATTACTAAATACAGTGTTTTGATTCCCCAATTAAGCCCAGAGTAAACCCTTTTTTATTAAAAACCAATCCTTGGAGAACAGTTAAACAGGACCCATAAAGACTGTGCTCCATGTCCACATTTGTCATATAAGCGAGGTAATTTAAATGGACAATTAATTTAGATTTGGTTTATTAGTTAGCCTTATTTTGATTTAGCCCTCAACATTTAAGTCACTCTGCCAAATGGAAATTATAGCTCATCTTGCAACTTAAATATTATTACCAATTTATTTGAATTATTTTCAAAAATTTGCATATTCTTATATGTGTATATAGATAAATTTTAAACTTTAGCTTAATTATAAGTTGTTAAGTACTTTGTATTTCTTGGGAAGAAATTATTTTCCAGATGAATACATTTCTAATTTTATATAAAATATAATAGAAAATAGTACCCCGATGCTCCTTTGAACACACCGCATCTTCTATTAGGAATTCAAATGATAGGCTGCAACCACAAGTTTTTATCATTTTCTACAGTTAGTTCAGTCCCATGGGGCTTATGAGGCTCAGGGTTTCCTCTGTGAAGCAATATTTTATAGCCTAAACATCTTTCCCCTTTTTCCTGTTTTATACATTGGATTGTAGAGAACACCAATCTCCTCCAGCCTATAATATCTCAGCAGCTTGACATCCACCCAGTGGATGCTGCAGTTAATAAATAATAATTAAGCACAGGTTATGGCAGGAATTCCCAGCTGTATTCTTTGATCCACTATTTCCTCTTTCTTTCAGTAACTGGTTACTTTGGGAACAAAAGCTCTAGAAATATTACTTCCTCTGCCCTCCCAGTAGCTGGAAAGCTCATTATTACTCTTTTAACATCATGTTAAAGATTCAGGTTAGACATGATTTTACATGCATCCAAAGTCCTCCAGTACAATGTCACCAAGAGAATATTTGTACGAGGGATATGTGAAATGGTCTGTATGAAATTAGGAAGCAGAGCCTATAAGACTCTCCTTATTTCAAGTTTGTACTTTCCCATGACCACCCTCAGGTTTAATAAATCATTAAAAGAATGCACAGAATTTACAGAAAGCAGTTATACCCACAGCATGGTTATTACAGGGATAGAACGCAGATTAAAATCTGCCAAGAGAAGAGACATACATAGGACAGAGTCAGTGAGGGCTCCAAACATGAAACTTTCATTTTCTTTAGGATGCATTACTCTCTTGTCATAAACATGTGACAATACACACAGAATATTACAACCAGGGAAGCTAATCTGAATTTTCCTGTCCAGAGATTTTACTGGAGCTCCACCTTTGACTTTCCATATGGCTGACCTTTAGTCTCCAGCTCATCGGAGACAGAGTGGATACCCCATCATGAATCACATCATTAAACACCCAGAGGCAAAGGCTTCCAGCTAAATAAAGACATTTTTAACAGGGAGGACATTCTAAGGAATGAAGATTACCTCTTATTGCCTAGTCAGCTGAGGGCAGAGGCGAGAACTATCATTGGGTAAGGTTATATCCTTTGCAAAAGTGCTCTGGTTGGGCCTCTCTGGTGGCGCAAGGGGGTAAGATGCAACCTATGAGGCTGTTCGCAGCCACTGCAGCTCCAGTTCCATCCCTGGCCAGGGAGCTAACCACATGGCACAACAGACCTCTCCTGACTAGACCGCTGCTCCCGTCAGCAGTGTGTTTCAGTCAATCCACCTATTCTGTTCTACACTGTACCTCTGGTGAATCCTCTCACCTCCCACCCCCCACCACGCCCTGCACCTCTGGCCGTACCCCAGTTTTGTATGCATAAATAGATAAATCTTTAAAAAAAAATGTTCATTTGAAAGGGGACTTCTTCTACAGTAAAATAAATCTGATGTATGAGTGGGATGGTAGGTATGATGACAAATTTCTTTTAATTACATCACCTCTTCCAACTCCTGGCTTCTAGAAAGGAATGTATCACACTTGGAGCAGAGTTCTGTGAACAAAGACGAAGCAAAAAGAAATTGCTGAATACTAACTCATCTTCTATCCAATTAAATCCCAGGTATTTAAACATAAGCAATTCTTTAAAGCTAGTCTCAATATTCTTCCTTATAATGAACACAATTTTCAAACTGTAGAATCAATATAGTCCAATAGTAAAGATATATAAAAATGTATGTAGAATGTTGCAAGCAATTTCTCAGGTGAAAGTCCTGAATGTAAAATATGTGTGTGCTTGTATGTATGAGAGATTGAATTTTGATTTGTAGTTTCAACTTACTTAATAAGGAAGTTAAAACCCAATTTATTCAATCATATCAAAAGCTGTATCTCCAATGACAGTTAAGTCTTAGTTACACTTGTAAAAATTTTAATTTCTTCTACCTCTAACTTACAAAAATTTAATTGTATTCTGGTTATTAAACTTACTGGTTCCACAAACGATTGTTTCTTTCATTAAATATATATGAAAATTTCATCATGGTACATAAATGGATTTATTGCTGATTTTTATTGTTGATTCTTATTTAATCATTCAAAAATCAAGTCAAAAATATATGTATCCATACATGTTAGCAAAGAGGTATTATGCATTTTTTCATGATGCTTGGTTCATACAAATTAAATAATGAGAAATAGAGATTGATATATTACCTAATTTTTATAACTTGCAATAAAATGGATAAACTCATTATACGCAATGTACATTTCAATCTTGAGTGCACAACATTTACTAATTTATCTCTCAAGATACGTGCCACTATTTGTTTCTTAATAATATTCTTTGAAACATATAACACAGTTATGCAAATTGATAAATGAAATCAGACTATGTGACAAAGCGAAAGAATTGGGTGTTTGGTTTGAGAATGAGAATTGGCTTTGCTAATTTGGCTGTATTGTAGACATTTTTCATAAATTCATAAAAGATATCATAATGAATGAATTTCATCTGCAACTTCAAGTTATCCTGACAAAAATATCTTTGAAGTTCAAGATAAGAACATTTTCTAATATCAAATTAATAAAATTGTTTCAGAATTAAAATGTTTTCATTACTCCAACTGTGTATCAGTCAAGATCTCAACAGATGACAAATTAAATTAGAAAATTTGAGGATAGTTGCTTACAGGAGAATGGTGGCGTTATAGAGGAAACACAGGAGTTTAAAGGAGAATTAGGGCCAAGTGACAGAGAGAAACCAGTGGGCAAGGACCCACACCAAGTCCTCCATTCAACTCTGCATGTAAGAGCAAACAGCAGGGCAAAGAAGGAAGGAGATAAATTGTAGGGGCACACGTAAGTTCCCCAATATAAGCCCTTTTTCAGTATGTCAAATTATACAAGTGCACCTAAGAGAAGGAATAACAGGTAAATAAGCCATTATTTGCAAAGTTTTGTGTGTGTGTTTAAATGTTTCACTATCTTTTTATTACTTTTATTAAAGATTTATTTATTTTATTTTTTATGCATACAAGAACTGGGGTGTGGGCCAGAGGTGCGGGGGAGGGGGTGGTGGTGAGAGGATTCACCAGACTGAGTGGGGAACAGAACCGGTGGATCTACTGAAATACTGCTGAGGGGAGTAGTTGGTGAGACAGGAGAGGTTTGCTGTGTGATGTGGGTTAGCTCCTGGCTGGAATAGAACTCAGGCCTTCGCAGTGGCTGGCTTGATCTTGACAGTGCTGAGACTTTAACCTTTGCGCCACCAGGCCCAATTTGTAAAGTTTCGAGAAAGCTTTTTTGGATGTCCTTCCTGTATCAGTACTAGAGCAGCAACCCATAGGAAATATGTAAATATAGAGAAAGTGATTATGAGTCACATGTAGTTATGGAGTTAGAGAGATATCATAATCTGACCTCTGAAAAATGGAGGCCAGTCCAAACCTGAGGCTTGAGCATTAGGAGCCAACAGTTTAAGTCCCAGTTCAGGTCTGAAAGCCTAACACCCAAGAACATCTGGTGACTCTCCTAAAAAGTTTAATCCTGAGCTTTCTTACAGTGTGCCGAGAGTTACACTATAATTTACATTGTGTATACTACATTCTCTTCCATCAAAATATTAAGGATAACTTCTAAAAATTTATTTTTGATTTTTTGTGTGTTTTTGACATATTTAGTGTTTATCACTTTAATCCTTTTTTAAAAATTACGGTACATGGAAAAGATACAAAAGATATGATTTCCTCAAATTTGTAGTCACATCCCAATGCTATTTTTTGAACAAATAACACAACTTTAAATGCTTCTTCAAATCTCATATTTCCACTTGAATCTGTTTCTGTGTTCTCTGTTTTTTTTTCCATTGATCTGTCTTTGGTTGTGACTGTACTTGTTACGTACAGTGTCTTTCCAGGCTATTTTAAAATTTAACTGCTAGTGCAATTACCCCATTATATGTTTTCTTTAAGGTTTTTATATTTGCTCTTCCAGATTAACTTGAGAATTGCTATTTTTCAACTTAAAAAATTACCTTATTATCACCCTCAATGAGTTGATTCATATGTTTTGGTTGTGGAACTATTAAACACCATTGAAAATAAGTCTACACATCAAAGACATCTTTACAGACACATCACCCAAAGCAGTGATAGTGAAGGCAAAGATCAACAGCTGGGACTACATCAAATTAAAGAGCTTCTGCACAGCAAAAGAGAAAATAACCAAAACAAAGAGAAACCCCACCGACTGGGAGAACATTTTTGCACACAACACTAATGATAAAGGACTGATCACAAAAATCTACAAAGAGCTGATGAGACTCAACAAAAACAAAGACTATACTCCAGTCAAAAAAAGGGCAGAAGAGCTAAAAAGAAACTTCTCTGAAGAGGAAATGCAAATGGCCAACAGGCTTATGAAAAACTGTTCAACCACTTGTAATCAGGGAAATGCAAATCAAAACTACAAGGAGCTACCATCTTACACCAGTGAGAATGGCACATATTAGAAAAACTAGCAACAACAAATGTTGGCAAGGTTGTGGAGAAAAAGGAACTCTCCTGCACTGTCGGTGGGAGTGCAAACTGGTCCAACCACTATGGAGAGGTGTGTGGAGATTTCTGGACCTACTAAACATAGACCTTCCATATGATCCAGCAATTCCACTCCTAGGTATTTACCCAAAGGACACAGAAACATCAATTCCAAAGAGCACCTGCACCCCTATATTTATAGCAGCACTGTTTACAATAGCTAAGCTTTAGAAATAACCCAAATGCCCAAAAATAGATGATTGGATCAAGAAGATGTGGTCCATATACACCATGGAATATTACTCAGCATTCAAAAAAGATAAACACATGCAATTTGCAGCAACATGGATGGAGCTGAAAGGGATCATGCTCAGCGAAATAAGCCAGAAAGAAAAAGAAAAATACCGGATGTTCTCATCATAGCAGGAATCTAGAAAACTTAAATAAGGGACCAGGAAAAAGAATAACTATAAGAAAGAAAATATCAAAATCAACAAACAACTATGAACCAGAGACACTCTATGGGGGGTGGGGGGTGGGGAAAGGAGGGCTTGGGGTAAAAATAAGGGGGTTGTAATTGTATGGGGAATATAAAAATAAAATTTAAATAAAGAAAGAAAGAAAATAAGTCTAGCTACTATGAGCAGCAGCTGTCTCAAATTATTACATAAAGTACAGACCAGTTGATTTGTGATTTTCATTGTTCTGTGTGTTTTATTGGGGGGGGGAGGGTGAACTAATAATATAAACCATGGATTAGTTTATTTAAGCACATTTCAAAGCACATATTTTCTTTCTTTTTTTTTTTTAGCATAGAAATGGGGTATATGCTAGAGGTGCAGGGGTTAAGAAGATTCACCGGAGACAGAGTGGGGAGTAGAACAGGCAGATCTACTGAAATACGCTGCTGAGGGGAGTAGTGGGCAAGACAGGAGAGGTCTGCTGTGCCATATGTCAATTACCTCCCTGGCCTGGGTTCAAACTCAGGTAGCAGTGATAGTGCTGAGACTTAACCCCTGGTCCCAGTGCACATCTTTAAATGGAAAGTTTTGCCAAGTCTATTGATTCTCAGAGCAGCTGTTTATTAAGTTCTCAGCACCTCCAGTTTGAATTTCAGGGATCTGTAAATCTTATCTTCTGGAAAAAGCCATCTATCTGGGTTTTATTGGGTTATAGAAATGTAATTTTACGTATTTATGCAAATATAAAGAAAAGTTAAATTTTGTTCATACAGTGATTCTTTTCCCAGGGCACATGTGGCATCTCTCTATTCAGGTTGTATTTTTAAGTAAAGATTTATTATTTCTTCATAAAAGCCTTGCAGACTAATGTTGACTCTGCTTTACTTTTATTTATTTTATTTGTATTGTGAGTAAAATACTTTTACTTTACTTTTCTAAAACTAGTTATTTCTGATAATATTATAGACTTATTATATGAAACAAAGACAATATATAAGTATGATATATTTTGCCCTGCATATTATTGAATTCTCTCATAAATTTGACAGAAATATCAATTAACATACCTGTATTTCCTGTTTGTTAATGGTAAGATATTATCGTTTTTATTAACTTCCCATTATTTAGATATCTAAATTTTCTAATTGTATTACTATACTTACTAGAAGACTAGTAGGAGATATAATCAATGGTTTGGGATATTATTTCTCTGCTCGCTATTAGTAATGGCCTTCCTATTGATTCTTGATGCCCTTCAGTAGATTAAACATATTTTCTCCTCCTCTTAGTTTGTCATATTATTGTTTCTTGAAAACCAAGAGTGCATACTGATTGTTTCTAATTCTTCTCTAGCATCTTAAGATAGCTCTATATATCTTTAACCCTTAACTAATTAATATATTCAAGTAGGTAGTAGATGTCTAGTTCTAAAAATTTCTTCATATTTACAATCTAAATATTTATTTTTCATTTTCATCTTTGAATATTTCTTGTATTCCATTTGACATATTGCTATTGTTATTTCCCAAATTGAATAGTTTATTTTTTGTTTTCTTATTTTCTCACTTTTAAGACTTTTAACTTTATTCTGAAAAAGTTTAGCTGTAGCTAGTAGTACTTTTATATGTTGTATTTCCAGTTTCATTCAATTTTATTTTTTTAAAGATTTATTTTATTGAGTACATATACAAGAACTGGGTATAGGCCAGAGAGGTGGGGGTGAGATGATTCACCAAGACAAAGTGGGGAGCAGAACAGGCAGATCTACTGAAATACACCGCTGAGGGGAGCAGCAGGTGAGACAGGAGAGGTTTGCTGCACTATGTGCGTTAGTTCTCTGGTGGGGGATTGAACTTTTTTCTATTTTCTAATGCCACTTCCCAAAACTGTAAGTATATGCTAAGTATTGTTATTTTTGGCTTATGATGCCAACAAATTTTATTAGAGAACACTGAAAATATTCCTAAACAATGGCTAATGCTGTTGTTATTAGTCACGAGCTCTTCTCCAATCTTGCTTTCTAACAAATCTCTAATTTTGTTTGACCCCAACTTTCCTAGTCTAAGAGGATTAATTTTCATTGGTCTTGACCATCCAATTTAACTTCATTTTCCTGGACAGAGCTTTGCTTTCACACTGTCTTTGCAGCAAAAGAACTAAGCAGGTAACCCTAATTCTGTCCAAAGCATTACAATTGGAGATCTCCCAAGGGAGCACTAAAAATGGGATTTTTCTCTTAGATACTTGGGGTATAAGCATGTGAAGATAGCTCTTGCCTCTAGCACCTCCTGCTATTGAATGAAATCTGAACTTGTGGCTGCTGGAACAGGGGAGATCATTTGATATCTTAGTGGGAAAACAAGAAAATTGCAGGAATATTTTAGTAGGAACAGTTATTCTACTCTTCTTCAAACTTTCTGAATTTCAGTTGTGCTCTGAAAAGCTTGGAATAAGATCTCTTTGTATCATGGTTTTGTTTTGTTTTGTTTTGTTTTGTTTTAATGTTAGTTGCTGTCAGGTCATTAAGTTCTGACCAAACATTTGCCACTGCTAAGTGTTTCTTTCTCTCATTGTCTGGAATGCAGATAATATGGCTACAGCTAAAGCTATCCCTCTATATCATGAAGTGAATTGGGAATGGAAACAACCAGAAACAATGCAGCAAACTAGCAGGACCTGGAGCTCCAATTTTGTGGAGTACCTTCCTGGACATGGACCACATATCTAAGCATTTATATAATGAAGAATTGGCATTTCATATTTTTGCCCCATTTTTATTTTGGGTTTCCTATACCTTAAATCCAAAGCTAATCTCAACTAATACTGATACTTATTCAAATTGCTGTATTTGTTGTAGTTTGTTTGTAACTGCTTTATTTCAGTTTCTTATGCAATGAAACAATAAATGTTTTCTTGTCTCTTGTTTGGCTTCTCTGTTACTTGCAAACAAATCATTCACCATGATGGGAAAAACTTTACAGATAAATCCATAGACTTTGTACTATTTGCAATAACAAATTTTCTATGTGAGATAAAAGGACTTTGCTATTAATTTCTTGAGTTTCCTTCTGCTTGTATATATTTTGAAGCAACACCATACTGAAAAACACACTTATTCTCCATTTTTGAGAGGATAATAATAAGAAAAACAAATTAGACAAAGAGAGCCTGAATGGGCTCTCTTATATGTGGAATGTAGGGAAACATAACAAATGGTCAGTCAAAAATCAAACCAATAGTAAACACTTATCACCTGACTGCAGTACTGAGGCAACCAGAAAGGGAGGGTGGTGGGGTGGGAAAAACTAAATCACGAAACAAACAAAAATCACACTTTCTGACTTATATTGCTGTTTTTCAAAGGCAAAGCTTTTAAAGAGAATAATCCTCCTTAGGAAATAGTATATAAACTTCCATATTTCATAGCTACATTATAAATTTTCAACATCATAGGATAATTTCCATTTAATTTCATACTTGAATTCATAATTATGTACATTTATCTATATTTGCATTCTGATATTCAAAATTCTATTTTCAATTATGCTTTTGGCCTTATGATATAGTACAGACAAAAAGCTCTTAATTTTTCTCATTCAACCATCATGTTTAATGGCATAAATAAAAGCTGTGACCCAAATGAAGAGCATGAAGATATTTTGAGTCATTATATACTATGAAGAGCATATGACTAGTGGACTGAATTTGAGAAGTTAACATGCTTGAAGTTAATTCTTGATTTCATAAGCAATGTTCCAGGGGTGGGCAATGAGTAGCATGAAGAAGACAATTTTTTAGAAAAGCAGAATGTTGTTTCCTTTTCCAGATGATTTGTATTTCAGGATCATTCCATCTTTAAATTGCCAACCTAACTATTACTTGAATATCTTGGATCTGTGTGTATGAACACAGTCAACTCTCTCAGTGCCTTAAGCATTGCTGGAGGATATTCAAGCTATTTGCTGATATCTAGTTACGTTTTAACCAAACTTTATTTTATAAAGAGTCCCTTGGCTCAGCTATGAGGCATTTTTATACCTCCTTTGATTGATGCTTCCAGCCACAGACCTCAGTGACTTGGTAATATTTTAAATCCCTGCCTAAGTTGTTCCACTATTAGATAACCAGTGTATGGGGTTGCCAGAATATTTGTATCCCTTACCCAGTTACCAGGGATTGATTTAGCAGTTCCTGAGAGAATGTTAGAGTTTGATGACACTCCTCACTCTGAAACACTCCTGTGGTTTCATAGAAACTACCTTTGAAGTTAGGCTTCCTTTACTTCTTCTGATCTTATTACTTTCACTTTATTTTTTATTGTCTCACAATGCGGCATTGAAAGTCAATCGTACCTGATTTTGTCACTAAGCTCTATTTAGGATACTGACCCTTGACCTACAAGTTTCACAAAAAACACGTTGGAATAAGTAAATAAGGTCGTGATATAACACTGCCAGGCATATTATAAATACCTTAAGTAAATGAAGCTTCTTCATTTCCCATATTGCAGATATCAATATAATTAGTCATTTTTTTATTTAAGGACCAATTTAACAAAAATAGTGTTCAGTCAACATGTATTGTCTATCTATACTAAATTTAATCGAGTATTAAATTCTCTTTTTAAAAATTCCTTGGTTATAAATTTGTAATTTAGAACTTTCTTGATTAATGAAATAATTATTCATTTTTATACTAGAACTACATTGTTAAGTTGCAATAATATTGTTATCATTTTAGGATGATTATTGTTACAGTGTTATTGATTAGAGTTACTATTACAGTATTATAACATTAAGATTATTATGATTTTGGAGTTTTTTGAAAGGTATTTATTTGAGGTTAGGATGATTAATCAGTATTTTTAATACTATTTTAAAGTTTTCAAGGTGGTTGTATATTAGTATGCTGAAATAATTTATGTTCAGGTTATGACAAGCACATTGTTTCACTTCCCTTTAAACATTATTTAAAATCTTATGTAAGATCTAAGAAAGGTTTACTTTATGGGTCTCCCTGGTGGCACAGGCAGTTGAGCGCCGCACTGTGAAGGTGTCTGCAGCCTCTGCAGCGTGGGTTCGATGCCAGCCAGCAAGAATCCCACATGGTGCGGCAGACCTCTCCTGTCTCACCCACTGCTCCCCTCAGCAGTGTATTTCAGTCTGTCTGCCTGTTCTGTCCCTGCTGTGTCTCTGGTGAATCCTCTCACCTTCCCGCGCATCTGGCCTGTACCCCGGTTCTTATATAAATAAATAAACCTTTAGAAAAAAAAGAAAGAAAGGTCTACTTTGTCAATGGATTACACCAGTTTTCTATTTTAAAGATTTATTTTTATTTATGCATACAAGAACTGGGGTGTAAGCCAGAGGTGCTGGAGGGCGAGAGGATTTGCTAGATACAGAGTGGGGAGCAGTACAGGTGGATCTACTGAAATACACTGCTGAGGGGAGCAGCAGGCGAGAAAGGAGAGGTCTGCTGTGTCATGTGGGTTAGTTTCCTGGCCAGGGATAGAACTCATGCTGCAGTAGTTGGTGATAGCTTGATAGCACTGAGACATTAACTCCTGCCCCACCCGGAAGCCCCTGCACCAGGTTTCTATTATCACAAGGATTAAACCTAAGCAATAAATCTTTGTATTTAGCACATCCCCACAATCAACTTAATTTCACCTGGATTTTCATACTTGCACTTCAGAATTTATAATCTCCTATTAACTTCATAGTAATATCATTCTAGCTTTACATACTGGGAGATATCCCTTTCAGCTCTTATGGGAAATCAGAATATTCACTTAAAATTTAGTCATGTTTGCTATTCAACACTTCAGCTACTATATTCTAGAATTGTGATTTGAGGCTTAATAAACCTAGGATCTAGGACTTAAATATTCCTCTGAGAAATACAATGGTGGGCATTTTGATATTTTTAGAGAAGTTAAAAGTGATAAACTTAGAATAAGATAAATTACAAACATTCAAAACAGCTTTCATTAATCATTGTTCAAAGATAACATTGAAGGAATTAGTCCATTAAAAATAAAAAATGAAGACTCTGTTTCTACTTAGAATATATAGCGGATGTCACTCCACCCTAGTGATAAGAAATTTACAGTTTCTTAAGCTCACCAGAGATACAAGCATGCAAAGAAATTTACTGAATTATAACCCACAAAGTGATTAGCCTGACCTAGAAGAGAAATGATCCATGGCTGCTTTTATATCTCACGAAATAGCAGCAGGAAGGAAAAAAACTATCATAGTTATGACTAAGGAGAAAACAGCTACACATTTAGTAAGTTGTTAAAGAGTGATAATGGGCTGGTATTGTTAGGGGGGAAAAGGATGTCCTAAAGCTAATTCCATACAGGCTTTGTGGACTCCACCCCCACCCCAGGCCAAAGCCAAAGACACTGGGAACTCCAAATCCCATCACCACCAAAGGGAAGGTGGCTGGGACCTGAGGGTGGGGTTAAGCAGCCAGGTTGGTATAAAGCCAGACACATGGGCTTTGGAGGGGGTCCCCCATTTTGGCTCTCCGCCAGCTGGCAGCATCAGGCCAGTGCTGAGAGTGCCTTTGGGTTTCCAGGTCGGTGGATCAGGTAGGACGCATTAAAGACTTTATTTCCCTATTTTCTCCCTGAGTTGTACATTTTCCTTATTTCCTTTTCCCTTGTAAATAAACCTTTTATTAACCTTTTGTGTATGCCTGTAGTGGAGTATTAATAAGTCCCTTTTAAGCGCGTGGGTGAGGACCCACAGCCAGGCAACCCGTTCAATATTGGGGCTGCCCTATAACAGTATGACAGTCTAGATTCCCAGAGAGGCAGAAACAGGGAAAATGTGGGAACTACCTGCCAGTTCTTTTCCATAAGCTTCACTGAAAGATTGTGAGTAGCAAAGATTGTGAGTATGAGAAAGATTGAGAACAGCACAGTTTCCCTGAGAGATTCCACATTAGATTCAGATGTTTAGGGTCAATTGATGTCTGAGGGAAGGACAGTAAAACTGAGAGAAACCCATAGACACTTTGGGTGCTCATCATAAATTAGGGTCTGCTAAAATGTAAAATGGAGAAAGGACAACTGAGAAAAAGCCTTAGGTTTTTCATGCCTTGTGCTAATTGCGGTGCAGCATCTGTCTATGCTTGGAGGAGAGTGGAGGGTAATTCTTAAGGTGCAGGTGCACAGATTTCTGAAGTCTGAGAACGTGCAGAAGAGAGCAGGAAATCCCCACAGACATCTGGCTTCTACAGTGATGAGCACGAGGTAGAAATCATGTAGGCTGGGTGAGGAGAAAGAAGTAAGATAAAACTCTCCAAGGTACATAAGCATAAGGCTTGCAGACACGAAGACAGGAAAACAGAGAAAGGGTGCAGGCACTCAGATCCCATGTCTACTAAAGGAAAGATGTTGAACTTAGCTTCAAGTAATCTGAAACCTCAGTAAACTAAATTTAACTAACACAATGACAAGTTCTAGACTGAGCTGAATAAGAAATGAGATTAACTCCAAAAAAGAGGCATGTTCTTTTCTGGGCATAAATATTAGTTCAGTCAGTTTTTATTTTCACCAATTGATATTTATGAAAATTTTATTAGACAAATGAAGAAGAAAGAAAATCAGATCCATGAACAACAAAGAAGCAGTCGGGTGATTCGGGGATCATCAACAATTTAAAAATAGCCATAACAAAAGTGTTAAAATTCTCATGGGAAAGGCCAGCTATTTTAAAATAATGATGGCAAATACCTAAAGGATCTTGAGCAAAGGCAAATGGCAACAAGCATGACCAGATAGGATCTATCAGCAGGACAAATATTGTTAAAATATATAGTGAAATAGAAATGCTAAAAATATGGGAACAAAGATGAACAGATCTCCTAATGAGCTTATCAG